CCTTTGAGCATATAAATTATTCTATCATTTCATAAAATGGAACCCGATACATCACCAAACAGTACCTGTGCAATCCACTTCAGTTATGTAGCAAATACGCACATAGTATCGCTCTGAGAGGAAGTTGCCATGAAAAGGTTACATTGACGTCACTACGACATTGTCGTAGCAATAAAGAATCGTATCAAAATATTGTTCTGGAAGGAACACTATACACCGACGCGCGGCGCGCTCTGTATACAAACACGACAGGAGAGCTGCGCATGCGCTGGACGGATGTGTGCAATAGCGGCCGCTCTCGCCGTGTTTTCCCCATTGCGAAGCTGGTTGTACGTTCGCTAACCGAAGCGGCTGCGGGGTTCCTAGCTTTTTTTCTGTTCTTTTTTTCTCTTATTTGTTATGTCCGATTATTGGCGCTCGCTACCAGAGCTCGAGCAGCAGCGATGCAGCGAGAAACTGTGCGTTGGTGGAGTTGCCTTCCAGGATCCCTACGCCGTGAGCAAGGAGCGCTGGCGCTCCAACGCCACATCGCCTAGGGTGCCCGCGTGTCTCTCTGTCTCAGGGTGAAGACACCCATTGTTACGCTGCATGTGCCAGCGTGTGACGCTCTGGCGCACTCGGTGCGTGACTTGGGCGGTAAAATGGCGTAAATGCATTAGCCAAAGCTACGTGCTCGAGCTGAGTGACACCGGATTGCGCGCACTTCAGAATGCATAAAAGATACGATTGGGAGGAAAAATGGCTGAGATGTAACCACTTGAGCAAAAGCGCGCGTGTGTATGAAGGCACTCTAACATCGGCCAAGTTTCTGCCGCAAACCTTGGTGGCGCACGTTGTCGTCTGCCTGGTCTTTTCGCCGAGCTAATTTACGGCCGACGCAAAGCAAGCGTACGAGTCTCTCGAGGGATACAACTACGTTGAGTCTGGTAAGAACTGATTGAGCGATATGCGTGCGAATATATCGGGAGTCGTTACACCTTACGATGCCTGGGTGTAGCGAGCAACTGAGGAACTCTTGGGCGGCAATTTGTGTGTATACACTGTATGATCGAAGTCCGGGTGGTCTGGATCGTATGACCCCCCTAGACATGCTTTGGTTCTGGAAACAACGATCTTAGCCGAAGCTACGCACTTACTTTCACAGAAGGCTTACACAAGCGGTCACCCGTGCGAGGCGAAAACTTTTTTTCGATCCGGGCAGGATATCTAGTTTCTGCGTCTGTCAGTTTTCGCCTGAAACTTGTGGAAGCTCATTCCACTACCTTTCGGCAGAACCAAATGTCCCGCAGGTTTGCGGGATTCCGAAAGGCTGCGTCGCACGTGCAAAGTGCCAGCTGTTTTTCTCATATCTCGCCCGCCTGGCCGATCCGGCGCGATCGCAGCGCCGCCGCAGCTCAGTGAGATCAATACCGCGCGTCAGTGTGTAGACCAGTGTCCGAAATACAAGCCCCCAGCGAATTAATGGATAATATTATTCTCAAACGCAGGCTCCTGTGAAAAAAGGGGCTTTGCATAAAACAATATTTTTTTTTCTTTTAACAGTACTCTTGCCATCGGTACTGTTCTTGGAGCTTTCTTCACTATGTATATCTGACGTTCTTGCACTACGATATGGGAAAAAGTATTTAAAAGAAAAAAAAAAAAAAAAACGAAGTCTTGAAAAAAGCGGAGCCGTCCTACTGTGCCAAGGTATCAGCATAAACAAACATGGCGTCGCCCGCGCACCAGAGATGACACTGGTCTATCCACTGATGTCTGTTGTAGTACGCTGGATCGCGGACCGCGGCCTCGGCAGCTGGGGCCATCTAGTAACGTTGGCTGGGGCCGAGTGTCCCTACCGGCGGCCATTGATTGACACCAGCCAATGCATGGAACTCTATGGGAAGAACGAGAAAAAGTGCCGTTTCCCCCGTTTCTAAGCTGTTGTCGCCACTGAAACGTTTTGGCTGTTTTTCGATAAATAAGTCCGTCAAATAGCTTACGTACAAACATTAAAACGGACAGCCCTCGCAGTTCTTATAAATAAATATTTTGTGGCCGAGAGTGACTCCGCTCGGCGAAACATGTATGAGGCGAGAGTTACCTAGAGTTACCCTGGAGTCGGTGACGGTTTCGTTGAGTTGGGGTTAGCAGACGACAAGCTCGAAGGCTTTGCTACGCGGAATTCGCTCACTCCCGGAAAGCCGCTGTCGAGACGGAACTTCTTTGACATTCATCAACTTCTGGGCTTCCCCGAGGACGGTCTCATTGACGGCAAGTTCCTTTGTTTACTCCACTACGAGGGCAAGCTTGCCAGCTGAGCCGTAGGTGCTCCGGTAGGTTTGATTTTTTTTATTCAGCGTTCGAACGTTTGACAAATACCGATTCGATCTCCAAACACCCAACATAAGGATCGCAGCACACCATAAAATACTCGCCTCCGAGCGTAGCGTACATGCTTCAATATTCTTACTTTTGTGCGTTTCTCCCATACTTTCGTGTATTGCTTAGTGTCAAGCGATGGCTGCCAGTGGCGACACCACTGATCTCTATGTCTATTTGCTGGATCGCGTTTGACCAGCTCCTCCTATGGACCGGAATGCGGTCACTGGCGGCCATCTTTAGGTAGAGTTATATCATCTCTAGCCATCATAGTAATATGGCGGACAGCGCAATGGCGGCAGGCTGCCATAAAAATAGCCGTAGATCTAGTACACTGTACCGTGGGTGACATTTCGTGCTTGATTGAAGTTGTTCGACGAAGCAGATTCTTGAAACCCGGCGTGAACGGTAGCCTCATCTTTGAGGACCCGGCAAAAGTTCTACGAAAGCGCAGCACCGGGGGAAAGCAGCGCAGCTCGCATCAAAAGCAGACTCCGTACCGTCGTCTGCTTTCGATGCTTCTTTCGATGCGACTTTCGATACGTGCTGTGCTGCTTTTCTCCCGGTGCTGCGATTTCGTGAAACTTTTACCAGGTCCTCAAAAACCGGACTATACTGTTCACGCCGGGTTTCAAAAACATGTTTCGTCAAATAATTTTATTCAAGCACGCAATATCACCCACGCTATTTTGACCGCAGCCTGCCAACCCACCTGCCAAAACGCTATCTGCCATGGATGAATGATAGCGGCTGCAGAAGCTTACATTGGCTAGAGGTGATATAACTCTACCTAAAGATGGCCGCCAGTGACCGCATTCGCGGAGCGGGCAAACGCGATCCAGCAATTGTCATAGAGATCAGTGGGCGACACCGACGGGCTCCAGATCCGCGATGCAGCCTACTAAATTAGAGATCAGTGGGTCTATCATCATTTCACCTTAAGCCATAGCGAAGCTAACGCCACGAGTCAATGAGGCAAATCAAGTAGGACCCAATGCGTGATGTCATGGCATTTTTTGTCTCTCGGTGCATACGTCGTCATCGGGTAAACCTATCTAAAAATGTGGCATGTACTTTGTCTGTCTGTGCGTCTCGTATGCTTTCATTGCGCTCTTACCTGTGTTGAAACGAAGGATATAAACGAAAAAGTGATTGCGTAGGCGAGCTGGTGAACAGTTACACTGAAAAACCCCGGAGACGGGGTACACACACAAAAAAGGGGGCATAAACAGCACCGTTTCCTAACACATAAAACACATTGAAAATAAAAGTTGTAGCTGGCTTTTCAAACAGTATTGTGTTTGTCTCTCTTTTTTTTTCTCCCTTCGCTTTTGAAGTTTTTTATTGTGACGAAGTATATGTAGAACACAAGCACAGCCCAATACCAGTTTTTTTGTGTTTTTTTTAAGGGAGAGAGGGGGTGAAAGTGACATGGAAATGATTTAACGATGACTCCGCGACCTCATCGTAGTAACAAACAATCGCACAAAAATCTTGATTGAGAAGAGACTCTAGTCATAAAGCACCTAAATTAAATGTCAAGCATTCACACGTGCGTGCACCCAACTTGCGTTATACTGAGTTTCTTACGGAAGAAGTGCCTTCAAAAGATCGTCCGATCAATGAAAAGAACTGTGTATCCACGAATGCCGTAAATAGTGAAAACTGGTGGTTTTCTTCACGAGATTTTAATATGTATGAGTATTTTCAAAAGGCCTACGAACCTGCTCTATACCTAACAACTGGCTATATGTAAAAACAAAAAGCCATCGCTTTGATACGATGGAGCCAAACGAGCAGCGTCAAAAGTGTATTGTCATGGCGCTCATCGTCTTTGTCGCGTTTGCCGTCGCCGGCTAAAACAATCAGGCAAAACGAATGCGGCGTGATCCTGCCATTTTTTATGTGCACGATTGGTGAATCCCGTGTTACCAAACGCACCGCGACGATTCACTTTTGGCGCTGCTTGATTGGGTTTATTGACTGGGTTCACTGATTGAGTCCAATGACGTTGACTGCGGTCAGTGAAAGGGAGCATCGGTCGTCTATAGGCATCCTGCGTTACCCAGGAGGCGCTGTGAAAAATGACTTGTTAGGACTTGTTTTGGTGTAGTACAAACTTTAACGACTCAAACTGTCACACATATGGAAGTGTGCCTGCTCTGGGGCGCGACACACGATAACAAAAAAAAAAATAACAAAAAAAAAAAAAAAAAAAAAAAAACGAAAATGCTAACGCTGTTGAAGCACAGGCCAAAGCTAGGACGATAAGAGCGTGAACCAAGAAACGCCGTATCACGCGTCCCAAATAAATATAAAGAGGAAGAAAAAACAAAAACGTCGGAATGCCAGATGTTCTAACGTACCACTTAGAGATACGAGACGCGTACCCTAGCGGTGGTGGCATGAATCCGGAACTTTCGATTGTTTTGCGGCGTTGAATGTAGCCGATTTCGGACGTCCAAAGGTGTTTTTTCCGTTCTTCTGTACTACACAGAAGGAAAAAAAATCACGTCGAAGGCGCCACAATAGTGGGAGTCCCAACCAGGTGAGCTTGTACTACCCAAAACGAGGGCGCCACAGTTTGTTCAAAGCTTCAGCGCAGGAGGCCCATAGTGAATGCGGACGAAGGCGCCCACCTTCTCTTTGGGGACCCAGTCGAAGCAGTCCTTGAACGAGTAGCCCTTGATCCTGGAGCCGATGAGGCGCATGGTATTCACCAGGAGGGGCTGCTCGACGAACACCACGTAGTTGGGCGTCATGCCGAAGCTGTGATAGTAGCTGAACGTCGTCTTCCAGCTGGACGGGATGTGGTAGGCGACCGAAGCACGCTTCAGACCGGACTCGCCTGCAGCGAAGAAACACGGCATACGTGCACCTATATGAAACAAAAGAAATCGATCGGCGGACTAGCATTGTTACATATAGTTGCTTCAAACAGGACACAGCGCTTGTCCTGCTTCTCTGTGCTGCTAGGAGTCAAGCGTTTCAAGCTAATGTCTGCGCTAAACGCCATGCGTACACAAAATGTATCACGGATTGATTTTAAGTTGTGGGATGTGTATATGAAAAATTCGCATGACTACGAACTTATTCTTTTAAGGATTTTAGAGCGCAGCAGCTCTTAGGCGCCCGTTTCCGGGTTGAGCGCGTCGCCGTCAGCGTCGGCGTAACCGCACGCACTGCATTATGGTACGCCCCGCTAAATGTAGCGAGAATGTTTTCCGCTAAATTTAGCGGGGAAAGCTTCGCTAAATTTCCCGCTAAATTTAGCCGTAAGATTTTCACTAGATTTTTTTCCTAATTTTAGCGGGAAAACTTCACCCGCTAAATTTAGCGGGGAAATCTTCCCGCTAAACTTAGCGGGAAAATGTTTGATAAACTTCCCGCTAAATGGCAGGCGAGGAGGAGAGAAAGAGGGGAGGATTCGAGGGGTGAGTAAAGCCACACTCTTCCCTTCGTACCCTCCCCTCCTCCTCCTCAAGAGCTGCGCTCTAATTTTGTATTACACAGAGTTGTAAACGTCTGTCAGTTTTTCTTAACTTTTTTCCCTGTTGAAACAACGTACGAAAGCTGTTTGGACAGGAAATCTTGATTGTGTCTCGCAGCATTTAATTTGTTATATGTGCATGGCATTTTGGTTTATGCCCATGACTCAACCTCGGCTGCTTCTATCGATAATACTGTGTACAAGCAAGACGGGATGTGGTAGGCGACCGGTTCTCTATCGAGGGGCCAGAAAACAATGCATTATAATGTTTGGAGCTCCAGTTAAAAATTGACCCGGGGTTGTATTGGTCGTATGGCAACGCAAAGACAAAACCATTGCTTCCATTTGATAGTTACTATTCAAAACAGGTAAAAGCAGGTTTGGTTCGAAATAGGATAAATAGCGCGGTCCAAAGGTTTTGTTGTCACTCGATTATGACGTCTATTCAGGTTATGCTTTTCTGGTTGAGAAAGTGAAAGATGTTCCATCTAATCGTTGTGCGCCAGTCCTCACTGAACCGAAAGTAGTGGCGGCACCTCAGCTTCCTTCGAAACTAGGAAAGGCTGCAGCTGCCATTGTTCTCTCCGCAAATCAGCAAACCCTTGGTCAAACGCTCAAAAAAAAGAACGAACTAATAATAAAAAAAAAAGATCTACATTGTGGACAATATGAATCTACATAAGAGAAACCTCTTTCGTCTTGCAAAAGACTGGGCGAATGTGAAGAGATATCAGTTTGTTTGGCACAAAAATGGAAAATTGTGTGCTCGCGCAAACCATGATGGCCAAGCGTTGGTTCCCAGAAATGTCGATAACCCTATGGAGATCGAATAATTCACTCCCTCTTTCCTGCCTAATATGTTACTTTACGTAGCTTCTGTATGATGGCGTCTACCTACATCTTGCTACCACCAGGACTAAAATACTGTACGGGTAAAAGTGTTCTCATTTAAATACAAAATCCGCGAATTTAAGATCTGTTGATTTAGAAGAACTTTTCCAGGCGCTTGACTTCTACATAGAGGGGCGGTACAACTATGTTTGGGCTTTGCGCGGATGCCACTATCAACGAACCCCTGACGTTAATGACGAATGAAAAGCACGTTCGTTTTTCTCCCCGCGCAATAAACGTCGCAGGGAAACTTAAAGAAAAATGAGCAGCGTTCACCCCGTCAACTCGCAGCCAGAACAAGCGGCCACGTGACCTGGAGCCGATTATATGCCGCCAATGTTGATTATAGCCATGCGCTGGGGTTGGCAAGGCACAAAACACGCGCCGAGTTCCAGACATTGTTGGGGTTCTGATATTGTCGTCCTTGCCGTAATTGGACACGAGTCACTACCCGAATCCTTGTCAAGCTATTGATTACCACGAACCCAAATCGAGTGCTCACCCAATGTTCGGGTTCAATCTATGAGCCGCATTCAAATATCGTCCCTGGGGGACTATGCCGACACTGCGACCCCGACGCTACGTCATCAAGTTTTGCGAAGGAGAGACTGAAATAAATCGCTTGCTTTTATCCTTAAAAATACACCGCAACAAAGAGATTTCTTCATCAATGGCGTTGCGTGCGGGTATACTTGGTTCCCATTAGTGTCAATAAACTCGTGTAAAGGAAAAAAACATTCCAAATGTATATCATTACCGCCACTTTAAACGTAATCATGTTATCCGAAACTTGTTATAATGTGATGGTGATGTTTTTTAAACTACCTGAATATAACTCGCACTCTAGAAATCAATAATCTCGGCGCGGCGGTGGTGTTGCGATGTTAATAGGTAAAACTATGAGCTATGAACGTATGACTGAATACTGCACTTCGACAGAGGCCTATTAAGTTATCCCGATAAGAGTTGACTTTAATGTTGAGTCTGTGTTCTACTGTCCCACAAATTAAAACATTTCGAAATTTTGGGACCTCCTGCATAGATTATTTTAATGTTTATTGAGGAAAATAAGTATAATATAATTTTAGGAGCGGACTTCAATGTTGAAGTGTTAAATGATTGCTCTAAAAAACTAAGAGATTTCATTGCTCTATTGTCTGCTAAGTATTTGCATTTTATAATTTCTTGTGCATGTTTTTCGCAACTGTTGTACCTGTGGGGGTGGCTAAGAACCAGTCAAGCTGCTTGAGCAGGTTTTTTTTTTCCAGTTCTCTCCATAATTATATAATACATAAAGCTACTAGTAGCATGATTATTATTAAGTGCGCATCTACATCATATCCTATTATACAACAGAAATTCATCTGTCCCACAACGCAATCCGATGAGTGCAACACAGCGACACAGGTGAGGCTGAGCGAACATACGGGGCGTGAGGAAGGAGGTGCCAACAAGACTTCTACGTAACGCGTTACTTCTATCTATAGTTACTTTCTCGGTAAGAAAGTAACCACCTAGCTACCTTTTAAGAGAAGAAACGAGTAACGTGTTTTCGTTGCCTTTTGAGTGGGTACCGATGTAACGGTATTCAGTTACTTCCAGTTAATTGTACACGTGTTTGTTGCCAATGTACCTTTGCACGGCGGAGGAATCTTGACGATATGGTACTTGAGGCCGGAAATGAAGCTGGCTCCCAGGTTGTACGTGGTGCCGTCCTCTTGGGTGATGGGGTGCGCGCTCGCCAGGTTCACCGACACCAACCTGTTCAAGTCGTACTGGAAAGAGAACAAACAAAGAGCTTGTAACACAAATGAGGCAAGTATTCCTGGTTTCCGGGTTAAGCGAATTCATAAAATTATGCAAACAAAACGATAGTTAAAAACCTGATAAACGGCACCTTCCGGTAGTCACGAATTGATAAAAAAATACAAACAAAAGGATAGTTTTTAATATAAAATAAAAGCTGCTTTTTGGTGATCGACAACAAGCTGATTGGAAAACTCGAATAAAACCCCGTTTTTACTGTTTTCTGAATGTTGGCGAATAAAAGAACGTTCATACTCGTTTGTTTTACACTGGCGTAACTTAAACGGATTTATTGAGAACATTGTCCCGTGATCGTCATTCATTCTTTGCGAAGATTCCAGGAAACGCCTTTAATATTGCCTCTATAGTAACTGACAAGACGAGAATGGCAGAGAATGACTTTTCAACGCCCTGCCTTCATTCAGCACGCGCTCGACGACTTCCGTCGTGCTTCGGCGTCGCGCGAGCGATCGAGGTGCACGAGACGCCGAAGCATTGTCGAAGGCAGGAAGCTCGAGCTGGAGGCGGGACAACTGAAACCCCTCGATGCCTTTCTCACCTTGTCAGAGACTCTAGAGGAACAAAGTAAACTAGATACTCAATTTGCAGTTTGGGCACTTTTGGGCGCCACCTGATTTGCGAAATTACTTCACTTGTTTCCAAAAAAATCATTCTGATTATATATCGTACGACATTTTCGCTAAACAATTTGTCCCTAGCAATGCTGACCTTAACTTCTCGTTTGTTTGTATATTTCGAAGCGATGAGTGTGCGACTGCAGGCAGGCGAATCGCAGCAGACAGAAGTCGACTGTAAACCTTTTATGTAGAATTGTGCAACAGGAGTTTTTGCTCTACCGAATGCCGAGCCTAACAAAACCTTCCCCGTCTTCGAGCAACGTTCTATACTGCTCCCGGGAGAGATCCAGTTTATAAATTGAACAACGACAAGAAAAAAAAAAAAATAAAGACCACTTGCCCCTCCTGTCAAAACCAAAATGTTGGCCGGGAACCGAAACCGATCCGTATTCCCTTAGCTCGTCGCATCTGTCAACGCTCGCGGAACCGCCCAGCCGAAAGGAAAGCCACGCTTGATTGACGCACAACGCGCGTCTGCCAAACAGAAGAAAGGAACCACTATTCGCCTTACGGTCCCGCGGTTGCAGTTGACATACGTGTGCATACGGCGGAAATACGTAGTCACGGACAGCTTACGAAAGCAGGACAGCCGAGGGAAACGCAGGTTCACGGTCCTTGCTTACTGGTTCGTTCTGCAGCACTCCTTTTAGCCAATGCCACCGCAAGATCATTGGCTGTGGTGCGATGATAATATGGCCGGGACTCGCCCCGCCTGGCGTTTCTTAACGTGCCACTGATTATACGGGCAGAAAATAAGAGAGAGAGAGAGAGAAGGAGACGAGAGTGCGCGGGGACTTGACAACATCGAGTTCTGGTTGGAATGATTAGAGGGTAACGTTATTACGTGGAATACCGGCGTCCTACGATTGCGTTCGAACACGTTCAAACAGTGCAGTGGAGGCAAATACAGCTAGCTTTGTGTCTATCAACCAATCGTTCGAACTCGAGCTCGGTGTTCTGACGTCCCCACGCGCTCTCCTTTTCTCCTCTCCCTCAGTTTCTGCCCGCATAGTGTAAACGTGTCCGCCGACATGAGGTTTGCCCTTGAGTACACTCAATGTGCAGTTCTGTGTACAGGACTTTTCTTGCGAGTTTTTTCCTTCCACATAACAGGTAACAAACAAATTATATTCAGACTGATGTAGTAGATAGAAGAATCTTCAGATAAAAAGTAATTTGCTTTAATGGCAGCTTGCCATTAAAGCAAATTAATGTACAGCAGCAGTGTGACTGTTTACCCATGTGCGCGGGTAGATTGAGTCCCGCGGCCATTCATAAGTTTGCTTATGTGTCTATGTGATCTTGGGTCGAACTAAAGATTATAGAAGAATTGAGATAAACCACTATTAACTATGCCCGTTTCATTGGATACAATAACCCTATCTTCGTCTGAGTCGTTCAGACGTCAATACAATTCCAGCTGCGTAAGCCAGCTAGCATCCATTTGAATGGGATCAAAATGTAGGTAAGTAGGTAAGCTTAGAGGATAACTGGAAATATATTAGTTGCACTCCTTTTCATAGAAACGCCCTATACATTCGTGTATGTTTAAATATATGTGATTTATCGCAAACCACTCAGTAATTTTGTAACTATGCCAATTCACGACCTGCATTGCGCTCTCTGAAACTGGTTAGTAGCATAGACGGCTGGAACTGGTGGGCTCTTAAAAATGTTACATGTGTGCTCTTTGTGCGCACAGAGTACAAGAAAAACCGGAAGGCATCCTTCCATCGTTATCGTGAACGAATCTTTCTCTTTTAGAATAAAAGAGGTTAATCACCCCCCCCCCCCCCCCCGCAAAAGAAGACAAAAATTACAAAAAGCGGTTGGACTTTTCGGAAGAAACAGACTTGTGGACTGTAAAGAAATGCCATGCACGTAATAATTGACTGAATGGTGACTACAAAAGTTAATAATTCTCGTCTGAGCTCTTACTTTAATGACTAATACTTTCCAAATGTATTTTCTATCAGTTTAAACTTTGGTTTCCAGCTCCCCAAGCCGAGAAGCTTGTCGCGTAAAGACAACAGCGCCTAGTTATCCCGCATACTTCTATTTTTTTTTTCTTAACTCAAAGACGAAAACAAAAGAAGGTTGAAAAATTAATTAACGACACCCGAGACGATAAAGGCTCGGGCTGAAATTTGATCCCTTGTAAATGTTTAACGTGCTTCCAAAATCGTAGTTATTCCAGACAACAGCGCCTTGTTATCTGGCATACTTCCTTTTTTATATTGATTCTAACGGGAAAAAAAAATTAATGTAAATATTAATTAGCGGCATCCGAGAAGATAAAGGCTCTGCTTAACTTTGATCCCTCGAATATATTTAACGTGCTTTCAATATCGAACTTATTCGGCGGCTCCAATGCAATGAGTTTCCTTGAGAGGAAATAAGCGTTTATTTGAAGACCGCAAGTACATTCAGCGTTTTCTACGGGTTTCCTACTCTACGAACAGAAAATGAAAAAGGAATAAGATGGGATATTATCATCTAAATGCAGCAAAACAAAAGGGGGAGATGGAGAGCTAGAGGTAGAGTATATAACAAATTAAACGAATAAGACAACGCACGCACGCATGCTGATACGCTCATATAACTGTTGCGTTGGCAGGTATCGTTTCACTTTGCAACACACCGCAGTGCCCTCAAGTGTTCGTTGAAGATGTGTCGTCTTTATGAAATGCACGAGAGCTTTTGTGGCCTTGTAAAAGCTGAGGGAAAGGTCACGGTTCAAAAATAAATTTAAGGGTGTTCTTTCTTTATCTTTAGGCAAGTGTTCTGTGGTGCACTTTCAATTCTGTACTCCCCACATTCACACAGGACCTGCTTGATGTTGTGAAAAGTTCTACATGATGAACATTGGGAAGATTCAGGTCTGCAAATTCTATGAAGATAATACTTAGCATAAAGTTTCCTTCAGGTTGCAGGCATATCAGCCGAGATTGTAGTTTCGGCACCTGGCATTTCAAGGCTAATGAAATAAACGGGTGTAGCATGACTGCCCCGCGTGAAGAATCCCTGTCGCCAAGCCCTGCGTCATTGGCCCCACATTTCGAAAACCCCGCGTCCAATTACCCCGTCCCGTATTCCCCCGTGCCAAAAGCGCCGTCCTCATTGCCCCGATCCCACCTTCTTCGGGCTTCAACCAACATTGTTCTACGTCTTCATCTAATTTGTTGAGGGTTTTGCAAAAGGCCTTTTAAGCGAGAAAAACAACGAAACAAGGTTACCTTGTAGCGCAAAAAAACTTGGAATAACGTACAAGTTTCCATTTCATAAATCTGCATTACCAAAGGTGCACTTCGCTGTCATAGAGCTATACACAGACGTAGGATTTTAGCCTTTATCTACCTAGACGAATACCAATATTTTTAAAACAACGTAAAAAGAATGGAGTGTTGGTACTGTACGTAAAACGTATGGCGGCATGAGCTGCGGGTTAACAGTTTTACAGAACCCACTTCGTCGGAACTGTGAATCCGCGCGTGCATCAGAGTTGTCTAAAGCTTTGGTTCAATGCTTATTCACAAAAAGTCTAACTTTAAATGTTTAGCCAGTGACTGTTATTTTCTGTTCTTTCCACTTCTAACATCACGAGACGTGGATGCGTATAGCGTACGCTCGAAGAACGGGGTGCCTTATTCAGTTATTCCTTAGTCGATTCCCGGGTACGGCATGCTTATGTTGCACAACCTCGAGCGCAGACTTACTGTCTCTTACCTAAAGGTAGAATGCTCCGCCCTCGCGCTGGAGACTCGGCCATCTGACACGGCGGATTCGTGTCATGGGTTTCTGAAACTGGGTCCTTTAAAAGCTGAGCAAAAAGGGCGGGCCTTTGGCGCGAGGTATTTGTCACGGGACTTTTGACATCGGGTGCTTTCCTGCACCACCCAAAACAAACACGAAATTAAAATATTTCAGTGTCTTCTTTTCTTGCTTTTTAATGAAGAGGAGGTTGTTTGTAAGCTGGTTCAGGGGAGGACGTTTTAGTCTCCATCAAGGTAGTACCAATTAATTTCTAGGAAGTACACTTTAGTCTACGAAAATCGAATTGCCTTGGTGGCGACAGCTTTCGCGTAGTTGGAATGGCTGGAAGCGAGCGCAGCCTCGGGGGTTTTCCCTTTGAACTGGGAGGGGTAACTGCCGCCACCTATCGTGTTGGAAACCCGTCGATACAGCTGAGACAGCCGTCTTTGTACTGTCTCGGCAAAGCCGTTACTTCGGTGCGTCGACGGCAGCCTTTTCTCCTGGCGCAGCGCGAAAGCGCAACAGCGTGGACAGCGCGACGCCCATTGGTTCTCTCGTACGGGGTGGTTTCGCTCGGGGAGGATTTGGCGCTGTAAACGCGCTGCCTAACGAAGATGAGCGGAGTAGAGGGTATTTAACTAGTGAAGTATTTAAAAGTACGCATCGCTTAGAAGCTGTAGAGTGGGAGTGATAACCACGAGTCTTCCATATATCGCGTAGTAGCGGCCAGAGAAAATCCACTGGTTAAACTTGGTAGAGTTGGGAATTGAGCTTATTATTTGAGAGGGTTAAACTTTAATGAAGTAAATTATCATGAAGCCAGCGACTTGATATTATTTCTGGCAAAAATAATGGTTTTGCTGTAATCGCTTTCTTTATTAGTCAAACCAATTCGTATAAAAACTTATTCGCTTGTCTTATAATGATCTAATTGAAATCGTCAACTCAGGTTGGATGCTTTTCGAAGTGTTTCAGTGTAATGTATTAAACCTATTGCCGAAATCATTATATCTGAACTTCAAACTTTATGACGATAATGTCCCAAATATAGGACCTTTCAGATTCGTATACTGAGAGCCTGATTCTCAGAGTACCAGTTAAACATTTTCTCCTTTTGGAAGCGACAGTGTTAGGTAGAGTGGGGGGAAAGACAGCAACCTGCCACAATAAGTTAAGTGAGGAGACAGAAAAAACTAGTAGCGTCTCTGGGTGTGGCGTACCTTAGATATAGAGGGTATACACTCGACGCCATGTTCGAGGGCGACGTTTAAAACGCATGCTCAGGACGAGCTCACATTATAGGCTGCTAAGACCGGTAATCCTGATGGTGTGGAATGCATGTTGCAAAAGAACTGTCGAAGCTCGCCGTCAGTACGCGCTCAGCGGTCGCGCACACAGCGATGATCGCCAGTGAATACTCCCATATGTTCCCCCTTGGCGTGTGACGTTACTGAGCAATTGAAAAAAAAATATATATATAGTTCAGGTGCGATAGGAATAAAAGTAGTAAAGCTGTACAAGAGTTTTAGTGTCCCTGGTGTCAATGAACATGTACTGGATTCTCTTGCTTCACCTTTCTGGAACTGTTTGTAACAAAAGTTGCGATATTTATAGGTGAATTTCCTAGATAGGAAGGTTTAAGGCGCTCGAGCGCGGTAGACCGATCTCACCAGCCAGTTTGACTACGTCACCGCTGCCGCAATGCATAAAGCCCATTTATGTTTTAAAAGTAGCGCAAGGTGCGATGATGCAAGAGGCCTTGCAACGTGCAGCCCCTGGGAAGATCATGGCGGCATAGCGCAGCACTGAGCTAGATTTCAAACGCCATACTTCTCAGAAGTGTAGCGCGGCATGTGTGTCGATCATCCCACAACAATGAATGGCGCCACTTTTCCCAGGATAGAGGAGCTTTAGCATTGCATCCAGGGGGCATTAGTCCTTTCGCGCGTGCGACAACTCCGCTGTACCTCAGCGCGTATGGAGCACGCGACAATACGAGTCTTCGCATGCACGGTCGTCTGCCTCTTGTTAACTAAAGTTACGACGGCGTCGCGCATGCGCCGAGCGCTTAGTGAAAACGGTCTATTGCGTCCGGGGGACCATTAACCTGCAGCACAAATTCACTCGGCTTTTTTTAGAGAAGCAAAGATGGTTCTCTAAAAATAATAAGAAAGTCGGCTCATGGTAAATGTCTCGAGTTTTGCAGTAGAGTGATTCCACGTCAGTTCATGCAATGATGGTCCGGGTCATAATTTATATATTTTTGTTAAAAATATATTTGAAAGCCATGTTCTTGGGAGGAACATTCAGCTATATATGAACGCCGTAATAATTTTTTTTGTTGCGATATAAAATAGAGAAGCTCGAGGCGTGGAAATTGAAAAGATTTCACAATGCTATTTCGCACAGTCGTCATTTCCTCATCAAAGCTTTCACGCCACCATAACTCTTCAATACGTTTTACAAAAGATATACGGCACATACACAAAATATTAAAAATATCAATAAAATATTTATATGCGAACAGAAATATCAAACATGGCATAAAAACGGGTCTTAGAGACTATTTCACAATTTGTTTTCCAAATAAACTATTTTTCATAATGCTTCGCAAAACATATCAAAGTGCGCGTCTTTAAATCTTCGCTGCGAACATATAAAGATAATATGCCCACTCTTAATTATCTTTTTGTTATTAACGCGGATGTGCGGCTGATTTCTCAAAATGTGGCAAGATTGGGCGTCGATATTTAAAAAGAATTCTCCATCTTTTATTTTCTTTGAACTCCCCATGGCACTTTGCGGTGACTTAAACTAACCTTTGATGGCAAAAGACTGAGTAACATATGACCGCCGAACGGGAAAAGCTACGACAAACCTTCACTCGGAGCGAGCCGACGTCTTCGTCATAGCGGCTTTGCCGCACAGCACCGAATATTTTGAGCGTTAGTTATGGTATGGCATGCATTTGATATTATACATTTGTTTTCATAAAGTGTGAGTATTAGTGACGCGAAAATGCACTTTTATCGGGAATACCATTAAATAGCTTACAATTCAGAGAAACAAAACGGCACCACTCTGCAAATTCACTAACTATGCATAGATAAGCTTAAAACTCTGAGTTGCGCGAGTGGCCATGTATACATCCGGCCTCTCGGCATATGATGGCTTCCACAGAGGAGATGCCTGGATTCCTCTAACATGTTTTACGGTGGTCCACTCTGCTTGCTTCACTGCACGAAACTCTCGATCCCGTTCCGCAGACAGATGGAACGGGTTCGAGACTAATACTCACCCCTTGTGAGCAAAAAAGAATTTTAATAATATAAAATGCATGCCATAACTAATGCTCAGAATGTATGGTGCTGTGCGGCAGAGCCGCTACGACGAAGGCGTCGGCTCGCTCCGAGTGAAGGTTTGTCGTAGCTTTTCTCGTTCGAGGTCATATGTTACTCAATCATTTGCCATCACAGGTTAGTTCAAGTTAATTCAAAGTGCCAAGGGGAGTTTAAAGAAAATAAAAGATTGAGTTTTTCTTTTAAACATCGACGCCCAATCTTGCCACATGTTGAGATATCAGCCGCATTTCCGCGTTAATAACAAAAAGATAATTAAGGGCGTTAATAACAAAAAGATAATTAAGGGGTATAAATAATACTTAAATACGCGCATTTTGATATGTTTTATGAAGTATTATTAAGAATAATTTATTTGCAAAAAAAAAATTGTGAATATGTCTCTAAAACGCGTTTTTATTCCATGTTTGATTAAAATGTTGAGGTTTCCTAACTTTAGCTCGCTTTTTATAGAAACTATTGTTAACAGGCACAGGCAATATAAAACCCCGTACATTCCATCGCGTTATCTTCGACACATGTACTCTTATCGCATACCTCTATGCTCAACAAAATTTGGAAAACGAATTTGTAAGTATTACGTGCCAGCAATCTTCAACAAACTTCCTTCTGAAATTCGTAATATAAAAACAAAATGCAAGCCTTGAGAAGTATCAGTTTTCTAATACTGTTTAATGAGTGTTATGTTTTGTTTCTGTGTTTCATTTTTTTCTGACTATATATATGCCCGGTTTCGTCTCACTGACTGCCACGCGCTGCCAGACAAGCATAATGAGGCTTTGGCAGGCCTGATTCTGTACCTGTTTTCTTTTAAAGAAATACAATTATTATTATTATTATTCGGACCTTCGGAAAGTGGAACCATATGCCACGCCGCGAATTAATACTCATTTTGGGACATGCATTTGGAGTTATTATGTTCCAAACACCTTTAACAAACTCCCACCTGTGCTGAGTGACATTACTTCTCGTGGGAAGTTAAAAAGAAAACTGAAGACTATGTGCTCGTCCATGGGAAAATAGCGTCAACCTTCAAGACTTTTCGTAATGAGTTTGTACTGTGGAATTTTGTCTTTAACGATATTTGCCTTCTCGCGTCTCTGAATCTCTGTAACTTCTTTGTTCTGTGTGTGTGTTTTTTTTTGTGTGTGGGGGGCTTTTTTTTGTTTTCATTGTTATGCGTGCTTTTGCAGATATTTCGTTGGGATCAGTCCTACAAATCTTTAGGACTTTGACAGTCCCAAATAATACTCTGAGGACGTTTAAGCTCCTGCAATAAATTTAATTATAATAATAATATTATTATTATTATTAAATAGCGTTTGTTTGCAATGGAGCTCCTCAGCGTTCTTTTCTTCCCAGCTTCACGAGGCTCGTGCGTCGCACTTTCTCAAGACGTTAGTCTCGCTTTTATTTTCTTGGTCTACCGGCCTGTGCATGAAGCGTGCCCCAGAGTAGTAACGAGTGCTAATAGAAAACTAAAGATAAACGTCGATGTGAGCTCGTTTTGGCCATTATAAAAAGTTTTCGTAGACCGTATTTCCACCTTCGCACTGCGCAGCGAAGACGCCACCACGGCGCAGCAAGCGCGTTACCGGCCCTCTCTGCAGAGTTCCATATCTCGTAGCGAGTTGTAGAGAGTGTTGCGGGACGGCGGATCCTCGACAGCGAGGGGGTCTTGTATACGTAGTGTTAGGAAGGCAATACCACTTACCCTCTGGAGAGCTTCTAGCGAGTCCTGGTCCACTTTCCAGACGAAGCAGGTCTCCGAAGTGCAGAAAAGCTCGTCGCCAAGCGTGTAGATGTTGCCGAAGTTGTTGTCCGTCAGGTCGCTCGGCACCAGCGCCGCGAAGAACCTGGACGAAGCGCGTACGCCGTGCATAAGAAACGTCCCTCTTCTACCCCGTTTCACTCCAAGTCCGATCGCTCACGATCCGGCGGAGCCAATCGAGCAGCGCCAAAAGTGTATCGTCACGGCGCTCGTTGTCTTTGCGTGTGTTTCTATCACCGACTAAACCAATCACGAAAAGTGACTGCCCCATGATCCAGCACCTTTTACAGCGAAGCTGTTTATGGCTAGGTTCTATAGGCGTCCTGCGTTGCCCAGAAGGCGCTGCGGAAAATTACTTGTTAGGACTTGTTTTGGGTAGTACAAACTTGAGCGACTCAAACTGCCACACATAGACGAGTGCCTGCTCTGGCGCGGAACACGATAACGAGAAAAATAGAAGAAAAAAAAACGAAAAATGTTAACGCCGTCGAAACACAGGCCAAAGTTAGGATGATAAGAGCGTGAACCAAGAAACGCCGCATCACGCGTCCCAAAGAAACATAAAGGGGAAGAAAAAACGAAAACGTCGGGAAACCAGATGTTCTAACGTCACCACTTAGAGATACGAGACGCGTACCCTAGCGGTGGTGGCATGAATCCGGAACTTTCGATTGTCTTGCGGCGTCGAATGTAGCCGATTTCGGACGTCCAAAGGTATTTTTCCGTTCTTCTGCACTACACAGAAGGAAAAAAATCACGGCAAAGGCGCCACAGTAGCGGGAGTCCAAACCAGGTGAACTTGTACTACCCAAAACGAGGGCGCCACAGTTTCTTCAAAGCTTCAGCGCAGGAGGCCCATCGGATCGTCCCCGGCGACAAACCCAGCGTAGACTAGCAATTTTGAAACGCGACGATGTATGCCCCACTTTATACTCCTCTCCACCGTCGCCGCCTCTTTCCCGAGTCGTGTATCCTCCTCGACACGCGCGGCGTCTCTCCCCCCTGACATTGTGCATTGCCGCGCGCTCTTCGGCGGCCCCCTGTGCGGCGCACTAGAGCCTGCGCCCTGATTGGCGTAGCCGCGCCAGAGTAAAACGTCATTGTCTCCACCGACCAATCGTGGGTGTCCTTTGTCTCTGACGTAGAGATCGCGCCACTGTCATTATCAGTTAGACTTCAGACTTCACATGGGTCGCGCCCGTGTTCTACGTTCCGAAGAGGGCCAGCGGGAGTACGAGGAGCGTCGGCGTGCCCAGAAGAGAGAATGGGCACGCCACCAACGTGAAACCGTCGTTGCCGCTGCTCCCAGCCCGACAACAACTTCGACAGCCGACCAAGCTCCGCTCGACGAAGACCTCGCCCGCGTCGAGCGCCGACGCGGGCAACAGCGTCAGTTCAACCGGCGTCGCCGAGTCAATGCCACCGATGATGATCCAGCAAGAAGTCAAACGCAAGCGTGGCGCAGATCACCGCGGCGCAACGCCATAACAGAAAATTCCCAATATAGCTAAACCCCAACATAGCAAATCCCACCAGAGCGCCAGCGTCGCTGGACTTTCCTCATCACGGGGTGGAAGGGCTCTCAATTTTTTTTTCTCTGCGTCATTGGTATAGCCGGTGATCGAATCATAGCGTCGGTTGCGCTCGGACTTGGAGTGAAACAAAGTGAAGAAAATTGAAAACAAATGGCGCAAATATTTACCATAATAAGTCATTAAACGTGATTAGACTAGTTGCCGCGAATGCCACCAGTTTAGCGCTCGCGGAGAGAGCCGCGCGCTGCCGCGTTGTAGACGAGTGCAAAGGGCGTTCAGCAGCATCCTAATGATGTTGCTGTAACACCCGGCCCTGGGACAAGCTGATTTACACCTTTAAGGGTGTAAACAATGTTTGTGTGAATTGCGTCGCCTCCGATGATAACACCACCTCGCAAAAAAAGGCAGGTAGCTTCCCGATGGCCTGGAATATATAGGTGTAGTATAAAAATTTCTTAACATCATATGAATTCTGGCGATAATATTCTTAATTAAGGTTACGGAAGCTGGAAACACTTGCTGCAAAAGGGCCCTTCAAGGACCTTGTGCGAATAGGTTAAGAAACGAGCATTGCTCGCGAATATCGCAAATATAAATGATTAAAAACTGTATTTGCTTTTGAGTCGCAGTAGCTATGGACGTATTTTAAATAATGTGGTACTTAAAAAAATTGAAGTGTTTGAAAAAAGAGTTGTTTTTTTTTTCTTTTTTTTTTGTCTGTGGACGAAATTTTCTTTTTCTGGCTCTAGCGAGAATAGGCTAAGGTCTAGTTTCACCGGAGCGACAAGAAAGAAACTCGCTAACTTCAGCTCTGAGATACAATTGTTAGCTACACCTCTTACGCTTGGGTGACACCAACTAATGCTGGAATAGTGTGTTTGCGAAGCATGGGTACACTGCGCGACACTCTTAGCGCAAAAAACCAATTGTCGTTCTGTTTTTCTTCTTTTTTTTTTTATGGATGGGTTGTTACTACATCTATTACGGCGGAGGTAAGTACTTACTTGGTAAGTTAACCTGAAATACCAGAAATTTAGTGTCTGAAAATATCCTTTAAAAATAAAATTTAAAAAAGTATCAAATGGAACATTGGTTGGTTTGCTAGGACGCTTTCTTTTTGTATGTTACATTGGTGGACTCGTCGCGGTAGTAGTGCTTGCTAGGCTCCTGGATCTCTTTCTTTTTTACTGAGAACCAAATGTAACAAACTTACTTACACAAAATATATTTGGAGAAGTTAGGAAGCAATAGCTATAAAAGCCTCTACACGAAGGACGTTCTTTCTGTAAACAGAGCCCCCGTTTTAATATCAGTTTATTATCTGGAGAGCACATTACAGTTAGAATCTTCAGGAAGAAGAAAGTTCTTTCCCATTTGAAACTCTTTGTGATGCATGCACAAAACGTCTTCCAGGACAAGGCGCACAAAACATGCAACTTCAATGTGTAGTTAGTCCTCTTTACTGTTTCTTCCTTCACAAAAATACTGACACCTTTCTTGGTTCTGGGTTAGTTTTTTCCCGTCGGCAGAGATGTTCAGCTTGTGCATTCACCGTGTTGCAGCCAATTGAGGGATGAAGGGGCTCACGACTTCAAGAAATGACTCTTGAGCGCAGGAGCGACATGAGCCAGAATAAAAATAAACACCCGCGTCTTTGCCTTCTTTTATCTCTCTCTCTTAAAATAAATGTTTCAGTTCTCTATGAAAGACTTCGGAGGACGATAAAACGTATGATTTCCAAGGGCATTAAGTGTTTGTGAAAATGCTTATCCCACGGTCGAAATTTTTTTGGAAACCAGGGTCATGCCAAGAATCACTGCAGCCATAGGCGTAGACTACGAGGGTGGGGGGGGGGGGGGGGGGGGGGGCATCGGGGCTCGTGCCCCCCCCCCCCCCAGGGTTATGATCTTTACTAAGACGCTGTTTACGTGCCATGTAACGAGCTTCTAGTAGTGGCATGTAAACAAAATAACGCCCACGTTGCCTTTATTAACAAAATACATGGGAAATGGAATCCCAGCGTGCTTTCGTTAGCTTCGATCTCCAGTTCTGGCGAGAAGGTAATGCGGCATCGATCACTTTTACGTCCACTTGGTCTGCTTTCGCAGCAGCCTGCCATTTTGCGATGTCCCACCAAAAAAAATAAAAATATAAATAAAACAACGCGAAGTTCATATAGAGGGCGCCTACTCCATCCGGATCTGTTCCGAAAGTCCGTTCAGTAGCGACTCCGACGGAGTTACCCAAACCGGAGTCGTGGAGTCACAACTTAACGCGCCCAGTGAAGCAATAGATGATTCCGTCGTCCGGGAAGGACCGCATGCATGAGAAAATATTAGTTGGCAAGTCGTTAATAAAATTTAGATAAAGTAATGGACCAAGAGCACTGCTGTTACGATGATAGCTGAAGAAGATATACATACGCTGTAAAATGTACCCCCTAAAATAAACTACTGATAATTGCCAAGGTAAAAAATATTGCGCAGAAAAGCCCCCTGCCCCCCCCCCCCCCTCCTCCCCCTCCCTCCCCCGGGAAAATAGAAAGTCTACGGCGCTGACTGCAGCAGTGGTATTTTAAAGTTACTGTATAATCGCGCTCCGCCCCCCCCCCCCCCCCCTTTCCTTTCGCCGTTCTTCGCCACTATGTTTTATTATAGGCGTTTCCTTCTTGTGGTAAAAATCCCGTAAAAGAGTCCCGAGTGTAGGCCGGTTGAAATCACGTCTTTCCTTAACTTTAGTCCCCTGCAGCAACCCATAGCGTGTTGAGGGTAGTGGTCGTGACTCTCTTAGAACGTTCAGAACCATGTCTAACCCACCTGGTTAGGTCCTTGTGCGATATCACAGCTCGCAGAGTCAAGCGATCTATATTTGCGGTCAAGTAAACGATCAGCAGCTCGTTTACGCTTTAAGTTCCCAAACATCGTGGGTAACATGAAACGGTCTGCCCGAGGGGTGTCCTGCTCACTCGATGAGGGCTGCAGCTGAATGTGTCGAAGACTGCTATTGTACACTACGCAGACGCCGCCGCAGTATTAGAAAACAAAAGGAAAGAGCGTATCAACAAGACGCGAGAGAAAGCGAGCTGTCGATATGCGAACTAAAGGAGGAGCGAAGCGTGCGAGCATTCCTCCCACTTTCGCCCGACGGAGAGGTTACGAGGATCACCCCTCGAGCGGAACGTTTCATGTTGCCCGCGTGACCAAATCAGTTGCCGCGAAGGCCACCGGTCCAGCGCTCGCCGGAGAAAGCCGCGCCTCCTGCACTCTCAGAAATAGGGGGTGTACGGGGGTACACCCCTTGTCCCATATGCACACCCCCAAACTACATTTCGACGTTCTGTCCACCGACGTCGAGCTGGAGATATTAACTTTTACGAACGGCTTGATAGTCGACCGATACAACTTATTCAAATAGCAAATGTACTAAAAAAAAGGCTACAGTAAGAGAATAAAGGCTTTTTTTTTTATCCTGCTGCAAAACCTCAGTGACTTTGTTTTTTGTAGTCTTTGATACGCACATTAACCATTTAGTACGTTATATCGAACAGCTA